ACTGACCAGGGATGTTGATAATTGGGGCTCATGGAGGTCTCTCATTTGTTGGGTTGCCTAATTCAATGGCAAATATAAAGGAAACACTTAAGACAGATCCCACTGACTTGATAGAATTACTTTTGTAATAAGATTGAGGACTCTGATCATTAGTAAGAAAACAAAAATGGCTTCAACAAATATGAAGGTGGATTTGAATTTGTTTTGGCCCATATCAAACTGAGGATCACAGAAGGAAAATGAATCCTGAAGGGTAGAATTTTATAATGTATCTTCCAATATAGCTTTCCCACTTCTGAAAATGTTATTTTCTTTTTCTCCACCTCATCCTTGTCTCTCAATGACCAGCACCATTATCATTCAGTACCTGATGACAACTATGTAACAAAAATGAAATCTCACATATCAGAGGAAGCTCTAAAGTTGGCGTACTGTTGTCTCTAGTGTGTTTTCATCAAAATTGAAGTGCTTATCTTTCATGGAATATGAATCACGATTCTCATGCATTCAGCCCACCTGAATCTTTTTATAAAAAGTATGTTTTGAAGCACTGATGAGAGCAATAACTTATGTAATTAGGCATGAAGTGCAAACCGAGATAGATAAAACTGTCAGAGTACTCAAGAAATGCTAAACTTGGGAATAATTACATGATTTAAGAAATAAAGCAAAAGAAACCCAACCGACTATAATAACACATATATTATGCATACAAATGTCACACAAAATAAAAAGTTGTAGTGTTTGATCTCTCTGTCTTTAAAAAAAAACATGAAAAAGAATACAGTGAAGGCAGTCTTATGGTCCAGTTTCTTTCAAGACACTTTGACTTTACATCTCAACAACAAAAAGAGGCAACCTTAGTACAAAATTCAGTAAACCTCCCATATATTACAATAATCCCCAAGCTATTTTAGGAGGTACCTCCACTTGATCCATAACGATAATGAACATAATACTATTGAAAGTATTTAAAATTGTCTTCAAGAAAGCTTGCTTCTTGCCATAACTTGGTCTTGAAAATACTGGATTAAGCTGCTTTATCTCTTCTTCTTCGTTTCTTTCTTGGGCTTCTTGCTTAGTGAAGCAGTTGCAGCTTTGGGTTTCTTTATCACTTCTGAATTTTTCATCTCAAAGCTTTCAGTATCCTATTAGGAGTTTATTTAGAGAAATAAGATCAACAGTGATTTTGAGTAAGTGGTCATACACTTAAAAACCCATAGTCGCATCATATATTAGTACATGATAAAACTACAGGGATGGGTGTATTTTTACATGGGTTTAAAGCACACTATTTAAAAGGAAATGCAAAAGAAATCATTATGCAGACTGGTTTTATGTAGCATTACTTTAAATGACTGAGCACTAAGGCTTAACTCCAAGGAAATACATATAGGATTGCAGCCTGATCACCATATATAAAATGGTTACATTTTTAGAATATACTGCAGCTCCTGTTTAGGCAGAAAACAAGAGAGAACGGATAGGGATCGATGTAAAAAGGGAGAAGAGATGGCTAAGGGCTAGACACCAGCAAGATGAAAAGAAAGAATGGAGAGGGAATGGTTAATTGGATTGAGATGGAAGGAAGCAAAGACCATGAAAAAAGTGTCAAAAAAACAAAATGCTGATTGCAGGTCAATCCTGGTTAATCAACGTAATATTTTCAGTGGCCGGATTTCCACATTCTTATAGCATATCAAGGTCTACAGGCTGAACTTAAGTTTAGATAGCTGAATTTAAGCTCTCATTTAAATAACAAAACAAGTTTGTAATGGCAATTTCATCCAAATGGATTTGAGGGGAATTAAGATTAACTAGTACTATGTGGGTACACCCGTGATGTGTGCTATTTTGTATTGATGTGCATAAAATACACATGAAATGGGTCTACCTTGTTGAAATCTCCAATTAGACTATTGTGTTAACATGTTGTAACAAAAATGCATTAAGTGCTAACCCAGGCATGGGCAAACTTTGGTCCTCCACGAGTTTTGAACTCCCAACTCTCACTATTCCTAACAGCCTACCACCTGTTAGGAATGGTGGGAGTTGAAGTTCAAAACACCCAGAAGGCCAACGTTTGCCCTTGCCTGAGCTAACCAGTATATTATACTTCCCTGCATACACTTTCATGGAGTAAAGTTAATTTTGTCAGATATTTTAGGCTAAAGAAATGGAATTTGGGCCACGGAAACTTATGCTGGAGTGAACAGCCTCCTGTGTTTGGAGAACCTACTAGAGGTGGGGCTGGGGACAAACATCACATTTTACTACACTTTTCATAGTTGCTGCCAAATTTTGGTGGTAAATATACAGCTAGAAGACAGGAAAACACAGGAGAAAAAAATATTAAATACGAAGAAAAAAGAGAAAGCAGAGAATAGTTTTGCGATGGGAAGGCACTTTTGAGATGAGGTCTGAGATGTGCCACTAATTTTAAGATATACAGGGTTAGTCAAAATGAATAGGCCAATAATGAATAATGAATAATGAATATTGGCCTATTCATTTTGACTAACCCTGTATATATGTGTGTGTGTGTGTGTGTGTGTATTCCTTTTGCCTATCTGAATGAGAGTATTCCCCAAACTGAAGACCTCCTGATGTGCACAACCAATGGTTGTGCTAGCTTGTGCAATTGTAGTGCACAACTGGTGATGGCAATTGTACTCCAACACATCTGAAGGGGGCTAGTTTGGGAAAGATCACAGGAAGGAACATCAGAGTTACATGGGAAAGTCAAATATTTGGCATGGTAAATGGGTATAGAAGTTTATCTTTTGGCCTGTTTGATTTATCAGAGTTTCAATGCCTAAACCCTTCAAGCAGTTCAAACTTTTTTTAAAAAATTGGTTGCTCTAGCCATCAAAGAAAAATAAGAAATAAATTAACATTTTTTTTTAAAAAAAAAACATGCACTCTAATTTGAAAACTGAAAATTTTGAAATTTTAAAACCCAGGTGGTTAAGAATGCATCTCTGTTTCCAACTGTACAATTTCCTTACTATCATTTGTGAGCAGAAAACATTCTTTCCATGGAAACCAAAATTTCATAATTTTAGAGGAAAAAAATCCCACACATGCATGGGAGCATAACCAGGTTCCTGGAAGAAGCTACATACACCCACAGATTGTTCTTCATCATTAAACAAGCTTTGGTATAAATATTTATTTTTAGGCTTCTGGAGACTCTCAAAATCAATGTGTGCCAACTGGAAAAGGCTGCAGAAAAATTGAGGTATAGGCAAATGTCAAGCCTCTAAGAAGAGTGTGGATAACACCGCAGAGGGGGGAACAGCTCATAGCATCTTTATCTTCAAGGAACTTGGCTTGAATCTCTTACAAGTAAATGGGCTATTGCAGTTCATGCTAATGCTGCAGTCCAAGAAAGGACTTGGCTTGCTTTCTAAAGGATGTGATTCACCCAAAGGAAGATGGCCAAAAGAGCTTCAGCTCTCTAGAAAAATGGAACAAAAAGCATTGGGGAACTCAAAGTTCAGAGGTCCTGAAAGAACATCACTGCTGCCTTCTAATGTTCAAAGCTTCAAAGACCGATTCCCCTGCATATAAAGACAATGTTCAGCATGGGAAACTAGTGATACAGGCAGCATCGCTCAGGAATATCTTGAAGTGGATGTGGTTGGTCTCCTCCAGAACATACACTTAAAATACAACCATCAGTCAAGTGGCATAACTTTTCCATTAACCACCTTGGGAAGTAAAACCCACCCATGAAAACAATATAAAGGGCACACATACCTGTGGAACTCACTGGGAAGAATGAGTGGGATGTTACAAATTGCCACTACAGAATACCATTAACTCTGACTAAATTGGCACAATCATGGCCAGAATTTGTATCAAGATCCACAAACTTAATTAAACATTAGTATTATGGAATTAACCAATTTTTCACTGCTTACCATTTTGTATGTCTTTGGAATAGGAAGGATTATGGCTAACACACAGATGAGCTGGAAAATGGCACCAAAGAAAAGACCATAGTGAAGGATGTTTTCCAAGAGTGTAGGCTCTGGGATTTCAGGGGGTGAGAAGTCCAGCTCAGTAGCCATCACAGAAGTTCCCAACAAGTTCAGATCTCTTGTTTCTGCAATGAAATGAATAATTGTATAGTATTTTGTATAGTACCCCCCCCCCCCCCCAAAAGTCATGATGGCTATTCAGAAAATTTAGATATCACAAATCCTGCTGCAAAAGTTCTTACTGGTACCAGCTAATCTGATGATTACATTTACTTGTCTGGTAGGTAATATCTGTAACCTTTAAAGCCACAAATGGTTCTCCCTCAGAATGAACCAGCCCAGCCCAAGAAATTAATGAGGCCTTTCTATAAGTCCTATCAGCCTCAAAGACAGGCATTTCGTGTTGTGGCATTAAGGATATCAAGATCACTATTTACAGATCATTCTGCTCCCTCCTTACCACCTTTTCCATGATGGCCAAAGTTTTATCCCAACAAATTTCTAATGTGTTCATGGCCTGAATCCATTGTTTCCTGTTACTGAATATTGTATCTATTGCTTTTTAAGTTTTATTGAACTTGTTTCATGGATGACTATTTAAAGGGTTTTTAATTTACATGAACTGCGTCGTTCTTTCGTATGTGGAAAGGCCAGATAAACATTTCTATAAATCAATTAATTTTGTTAATTAATTAAATTTTAAATGTGAATTAATTAGAAAATAAAGTCTCTTGCACACTGGAAAGTTTAAAAGTCAAGCATTGATAATATCTACGGCAGCCCAGAGACTGCAAAATAAATGAACAGCCAGACTATCCGATGTGAGAATGGAGAAGCAACATAGATCCATCCAACTATTTTCCTTTAGCTAATTGCATTGCTCCTGGGGAAGCTCCCGAGGATGTCCTTAGAGCTGAGAATCCAGTCATAAAAAGGAGCAGGATACTCTCTGTGCCCTCCTTGTTTTCCAGTGACACAGAAATGGACATCATGGCAGGCCATAGTGTCACACTGATCCTCAGTATTTTACACTATTTCACCCTTTCCTAGGTTTTGGTTTTAGTAGTGTCTCCTCATTTTAATACAACCCTTGTACATCTCATACATTAGTTATTAATTATTGTCAGGTTGAGTGACTTATGGTAACCCAACTCACCTTATCATTAACAGCCCTGTTTAGGTCTTACAGACCTTACCAAGCACTATTGTCTTGTCTTGTGAATCATGTCTTCTCAAGATATGTTCAAAATGAAAAAGTCTCAGTTTAGCCATCTAGACAGAGTTCAGGCTTGATTTGGTCTAAGACCCATTTATTTGTCTTTTTGGGGGCCCACAGTATCCACATGAACCATAGCCAAGTAATATGTGGAGGTGAGCCAGTGTTGTTGGAGCAGAGTTTAAAGGAGTCTCTGTAACTAGGATTTGTAACTAGGATTATGGGTCTTTCTTAACTCTTCCCTATGCTAGCCAAAGCCCCATATATGTGTGTGCGTGGGGGGGGGGGGGGGCTGGAGTTACACTTAAAATGTACCTGTTCCAACTTACATAGAAATTCAGCTTAAGAACAAACCTACAGAACCTATCTTGTTTGTAACTTTGGGCTGCCTGTACTAGCTACCATCAGCTAGAACATATTTATAAACAATTAAACAAAGTAATAATACAAATATTTATTTCCAATGTTGCTGCTTCCTCCCTGAACTTTGTATTTCTCCCGCCTTGTGCCAGTCCAACGTCTACTCCCTAACACCCAAGCTTGGCTCATAAAATCTCTTCATATATGGAAAAAGAAAATACAAGGAACTAAATCACATCATATGAACGATCCAACAAATAGAATAAAAGACAAAATTGAATCACAAATGTTCCTGGAGGGAGGGGGCAGGGGAGGTTGAGAAATAAGGAGAAAGGTATAAATAGGAGACTGAGATGGAATTAGAAAGTAGGAATTGAGCTATACCAGAAAAGTATGTAATCTCCTTTACCTGTATTTACTGATTTTGTATTTTAATAGTCCTGTATTATAATGGAGATAGTTAAACTCTATTTATACAACCCAATAATTTTTAAACCAAAAATTCTCCAAACAAACAAAAAAAATTTCTTCATGTCTCCATGTGTGTATTTAAAGGCAGGTGGGACAACACCTGATTTTACTTGCTCACTCCTATAATATATAATTCTTCTGATCTGTGCCCTTCTATATACCAGAAATGATAGGGCTTTGGGTTGTTTGGTTAGAGCTGCTATGATGCTAAAATCCTGGAAAAAGTTTGGATAATAATAATAATAATAATAATAATAATAATAATACACTTTATTTGTACCCCGCTCCATCTCCCCAATGGGGACTCGGTGCGGCTTACATGAGGACAAGCCCAAAACAACAATTACATGAAATAAAACCGAAAATGCAAATAATAAACAATAATAACGCAATTACATAAAACAAAAGACAACATAGCAATATAAAATTACAATAAACACAATCACGGTAACATGGGCAAGCTACATGCAATGGATAAAAGAAAATTCCCAGATCTATTCAGTACTTTAACTAGGCGGACCTCTGCCTTGGACCTCAGAGAGCTGCTGCCAGTTTTAGAGTTAAAACAACCAAGGTCCAGATGGACCTGACATACAGAAACCCCTTTCATTATGTTAGTTTGTTTTTTGGAGTGAAATGGTGCCACTTCTAATTATATTTGATAAATGTTTATATATTTATTTATTTATGTGTTATTGTCTTATTGTATACATGGTTTTATAAGTCATTGTTATATGTATGCTTGATCTGTATCATTTTTAAAAGGTTGTGAGCTGCTTTGGGTCCCGTTTGGGGAGAGAAGCAGGATACAAATAAAGTTGTTGTTGTTGTTGTTGTTGTTGTTGTTGTTATCATTATTATTCCAGGCTCAGTTATGCCACTGAAAAGACATAGGGGGACAAAAGTTTACAGGATTAGAACAAAAACACCCAGTTCAGTCTTCTGTTCCGACAGTGGCCCACCAGAAGCTTTGTAGCACTCCATAAAGAAATATGTGTTTCCCAATTAATACAATGCTGACTTTTAGGTCCATTGAAGTTTACATGATTAACAGTTTAAGCCATGGGAAAAGATTTGATCTGCAATTTAAACAGCTGTTTGGAGGTGGGCAAAACCCTTTATAAAAACCATGCGCTTCCAGAGCACTTATTTTTAGTCGCAAGATTCACATAAAGAGGGAACGACAAGTCACAACCAAAATAGATCCCCACCTACTCAAGTACTCTATCTTCATTCCTATTAAAACTTCGGGTTTGAAATACAATTCTCCAAAATGCTTTCATTCATCCTACAAACACTTCCTGTATTTTTTAAGAAAAAATATAATGCTTTCGGCATCACTCTCTGTGAAGTAACCTACTTCCTCTCACTTTCTTAATCCCATTCTCAATTTCTAGAGGTTATATTTTCATTTTTTTATGCTGAAACAGATAAAATAGTGCTTCCTGACCTAGTTCTTCCACTTACTCCTCTAGGAAGGAAAGAACTAGACTAATTGCTAGGTACTCTGTAAGCACGAAAAAATCCTCTTATTTTTAAGGCCATTAGAAAAAGAAGAAAGAAGGAAAAGAAAAAAAAAGAATCATGTGGGGGATAATAAGAAACCACAGGGCAATTTCTAACAAGTAGTGTATCCCTCATCTGGAAATGCTCCCAAATTGGATGGCTACGATACTGACACCTTTGCTTTCTGATGGTTCAATGTACTCAAACTTTGTTTTATGCACAAATTATTTAAAACATTGCATATAAAATTACCTTCAAGCTATGTGTATAAAGCGTATATTAATAATAAATAAATTTTACATGTAGATATCTCATTATATATATGCAAATAAAGGTGTTCCAAAATCCCTTCAAATCCAAACACTCCTGGTCCTAAGCATTTCAAAGAAGGGATACTCATGGCAACTCACATATTGTGAATTTGTGAGTTTGCTTTGAATTGTATTATGTGGTTTTTGTTTTTTTAAAGGGCATTTCATCTGGATATTTTGTTTTGCAGTGGTATTGTAGTTTTGTGATTTGCTATTCCCCCTTTCTTATGTCTCTCTGTGTTAAATTTTAATCTAATTTAATTTAATTTTTTTTGGAATTGTATGTGTTTTAAGGTATTGAATGATTGCCTCTATGTAAGCAGCCTCGAGTCCCCTTCGAGGTAAAGAAAGGCAGGGTAGAAAAAGCGTAAATAAATAAATAAATAAATAAATAAACAAACACACTTTAGATCAGGCATGGGCAAACTTCGGCCCTCCAGGTGTTTTGGACCCCAACTTCCAATTCCTATCAGCTGTTAGGAATTGTGGGAATTGGGAGTCAAAAACACCTGGAGGGCTACAGTTTGGCTCTAATGTATTCCGCCAATGTTGTTGCATGCAAGTCCAGCCTAATTTCTCTACGTTTCAACTTCTCATACTCCCTTATATTTGTCTCCCTATTGGAGTTACTGGGGGTAATCCTTTTGGTATTAATGTTGGAGAGTGGTCCCTGGTCAAAAAAAAAAAAAAAAGATTGGGAACTACTGGCATAGATGTTGGAAATCTATCCTGGCTCTGTTGGCAGCTGAAAACCATTCCATATTTTAATGCATTATTTCATTATTTTGTAAATGGGTTTGTTGTGATATATTATGTTTATTTAAGTACTATTTTTGGGTTAGTTATTAATGTTGTTTTACTTACAGTTTGATTTGGCTTGTTTCCTGCTCTGATTTATTATGGCACTGAATGTTTAACACTTTGTTTGGAAGCGAAGTCCCCCTCGGGAGATAGGGCAGGTTATAAATAAAGTTTATTATTGGGTTGCTGCGAGTTTTATTTTATTATTATTTATTATTATATAGTAATTTATTATATTATTATAGTAAAGGTAAAGGTTTTCCCCTGACATTAAGTCCAGTAGTGTCCAACTCTGGGGGTTGGTGCTCATCTCCATTTCTAAGCCAAATAACAGGCATTGTCCGTGCACATCTTCAAGCTCATGTGGCCTGCATGACTACATGGAGCACCGTGACCTTCCCGCTGGAGCGGTACCTATTGATCTACTCACATTTGCCTGTTTTCAAACCGCTAGGTTGGCAGAAGCTGGGGCTGACAGCAGAAGCTCACACTGCTCCCTGGATTCGAACCTGTGAACTTTCGGTCAACAAGTTTAGCAGCTCAACGGCTTAACCCACTGTCAATCAGAAAACAGCTGATTGACATTCCCACTTCCCCTTGTACGAGTGATCTCTAGTTTAGGCGGGAATTGTGATGGGGAATTCTAGCACTAGGGGTAATTGTAACGGGTCCTGCTTTTGCCTATCACACCAGAAATCTCTCATGTGAGGTGGTAGAAATAGCAATCAGCTGCTTCTTAAGTGATAGGGAATAGAGCTCTGTCAATTGCTGCCTGGTAAGCAGAGATTAGAATGGACAGGGATAGGACTCACTGAGTAATCAATACATATGAATACATATCTCCCATACAAGAGTCTGGCTATTATGGTCAACTTGTCCAACGTTCAGCAACCAGACTAATAACTGGAGCAACTTACAGGGAATGGTCAACCCCCCTGTTTAAGAAGCTCCACTGGCTGCCATTTATTTTCCGGTCCCAATTCAAGGTGCAGGTTATTACCTATAAAGCCCTAAACGGTTTGGGATCTGCCTGCCTTCGTGACCGTATCTCTCTCCATGAACCATCTCGGGCCCTCGGTTCTTTTGGGGAGGCCCTTCTTTCACCCGCGCCAGTCTCCCAGACTCGCTTGGTGAGTACAAGGGAGAGAGCCTTTTCTTCTGTGGCTCCCCAACTCTGGAACTCACTCCCTGGAGAGATTAGGAAAGCCCCTACCCTAGAAACCTTTAAATAGAAAATCAAAACTTGGCTCTTCCACTGCGCATTTGATGAGTAGATCTACATCCTCATGCTAGTGTTTAGTTTAACGGTTTTTGTTACTGGAGTGCATTCAAAACTGGATCAAATATATACAGTATTTTAAAATTCCCAGTTAAAAAACCATTAAAACAAATCCAAAGTTTAAAAACACATATACATTCATATCCAAAACAACCCTGATAAGGAAATTTCAACCTGTACTGAACAAAATCGGCTTTGGGTGCATCTACACTGCAGAATTAATGCAGTTTGTCATTACAATGCCTTTTACCCTTCTCTGCCAAAGAGGGCTGGTGCCTCACCAAGGTACAAATCCATAGCATTGAGCCAGGGCAGCTAAAGTGGTGTCAAACTGCATTAATTCGACAGTGTGGATGCACCTTTAACACCAGGATATGTGTATGCAGGGACTGGCCTCCAAATTTGAAAATACAATACACAGGACCGAAGAAACGTAAGACTCCCTCTCCACGTTCCCAATATGATGCTTCTTACCTCCTCCCAAACGCCAAGCCTTTTCCCCCCGGAAACGGTTCTACTCCTCCAGGAAGTGCTTGTTCAAGGTATCCCGTAGCAACCACCCATAGCAACGCGTTGCTAGGGAGGCGTGGCCTTTCGTTCGCTACTACTTTCTGTGCTGCAGAGAAGCTTCCCTTTTGGAGCGAGAACAGAGCGCCCCCTGGCGTCACACAGCGGGAGGGCCTCTTTTGAGCCATTCCTCCTCCATTGACATATTTCAAAGGCTGGAAACCTTTGGCCATAGGGACATTGACACTGCTAAATTAATATACTTTGGCACCACTTTTCACTGCCATGGATAGATATCATGGGAGTTGTATTTTTATAGGGATTTTATTAACCTTCTCTGCCACTCAATTAGACACAATTAGACACAAATAATATTCAAATATATTAAGCAAGTTGCTTTAACTTTCTCATTTATGATGTAGAAGTCATGGAGGTTCAGGATTTATCTCTAAGAGCATTGCAAATAACTATTCTGGATATTTAAGACTGCATCTAGACCAGGCCTTGGCAAACTTTGGGCCTCCAGGTGTTTTGGACTTCAACTCCCACAATTCCTAACAGCCGGTAGGCTGTTAGGAATTGTGGGAGTTGAAGTCCAAAACACCTGGAGGCCCAAAGTTTGCCAAGGCCTGGGCTCTAGGAACAAGACCTTATTGACAAGGCCTTTTTTGCTACCTTTGCTTGAAATGAAGGTTACAACAGCAGTCCATAGAACATAGGATGTTTCTGGATAGGGAGCTCCTACAATTACTGGAGAAAGGCAGGGAGTTTCAGAAAAAATTCTAAAGCCAGGTTCTTGTGGGTTTTTTCGGGCTATATGGCCATGTTCTAGAGGCATATTCTCCTGACGTTTCGCCTGCATCTATGGCAAGCATCCTCAGAGGTAGTGAGGTCTGTTGGAATTAGGAAAATGGGTTTATATATCTGTGGAATGACTGGGGTGGGGCAAAGAGCTCTTCTCTGCTGGAGCTAGGTGTGAATGTTTCAACTGACCACCTTCATTAGCATTTGAAGGCCTGGCTGGATCTTTTGTTGAGAGGTGTTAAGATGTGCCTGGTTGTTTCCTCTCAACTGTTTTGCTGTTGTAATTTTAGAGTTTTTTAATACTGGAAGCCAGATTTTGTTCATTTTCATGGTTCACCTAGCTCCAGCAGATAAGAGCTCTTTGCCCCACCCCAGTCATTCCACAGATATATAAACCCATTTTCCTAATTCCAACAGACCTCACTACCTCTGAGGATGCTTGCCATAGATGCAGGCGAAACATCAGGAGAAATACCTCTAGAACATGGCCATATAGTCCGAAAAAACCCGACAAGAACCTAGTGATTCCAGTCATGAAAGCCTTCGACAATACATATTCTAAAGCCTTTGACTGTGTGGATCATAATAAATTGTGGCAAGTTCTTGGTAGTATGGGGATACCAAATTGTGCCGTCACACCCAGACCCTATAAAAATAAAACTAAGATGTGCTTCTCTCTTTGTCTGGGCGGACCGCGGGGGTCTTTCTTTAGAAGCTTGAGATTCCCAGCAACTGAGGCTACTACAGGCTTTGAACATCAAAACAGAATATTTATTTCTCAAAGTCCTTGCAGACTTGGCACAGCTTGTTAAAGTTCCAAACATCAGTTAAAGTTTCATCAATTCCTTTAGTCAATTGATGAAACAATAGAGATGATCTTTCCTTTCCTTTAGTTACTGAGAGAACTTTTCCCCAAAAGGCAGAAGAGAATCCTGAGATCTTTTCACCCTAACCCTGAGCTGCTATGCTTTAGAAAAAAGCAGGTTTTCCCCCCTATCTATAGCTCAAGGTTAGCTTTGGAGATGAAGTAATGCTCAATATATAACTCAATACCTATCCTATCTATCTATCTCTATAGTACTCAATAGCTTCTTTATCTAAATCTCAATATGCTTCTATATAGCTCAATCAGTGTTGATTTTTCTATCTATTTTTCAATCGAATTAACTCAATCGTTCTTATAATGGTTTTTTCAGAATTACCTGCCTAACAGACAGCACATCTGAAGCTTTCTTCTCTACTGAAAAAGACAGGAGAGATTCCAAAATGGAGATCTCAACCCCTGGAAAAAGGGCGGTCTCTAAACCCAGAGATACTTTCTAAACCAATAGCTGCAAAAGGGGTGTGCAGGCTGGCTTTCTAGCCTCTAATGCTGTTAACTTTCAGAGTGCAACTAAGATTGTTGCAGCCCTGGGGAAATGCAAAAAAATGCTATCCCATGCAACTAAAAGGTAATGCAAACTATGCTCCTGGAAGATGGAACACAAATCACCTTATCTCCCTCCTGAGGAATCTGTATAATGACAAAGTAGCAACAGTAAGGACTGACCATGGAACAACAGACTGGTTCAAGATTGGGAAAGATGTACGGCAGGGTTGTATACTCTCAGCCAACCTATTCAACTTGCATGCGATGTGCAGGGCTTGACAAATTCAAGGCTGGGGTTAAAATTGCTGGAAGAAACATTAACCACCTTAGATATGCTGATGATACCACTTTGATGGCCGAAAGCGAGGAGGAGCTGAGGAGCCTTCTAATCAAGGTGAAAGAAGAAAGCGCAAAAGCTGGGTTGCAGTTAAATGTTAAAAAAACCAAGATTATGGCAACTAGATTGATTGCTAACTGGTAGATAGAGGGAGAAAACGTGGAGGCAGTGACAGACTTTGTATTTCTAGGTGCAAAGATTACTGCAACCAGGAAATCAGAAAATGCTTACTTCTTGGGAGGAGAGCAATGACCAATCTTGATAAAATAGAGAAGAGTAGCGACGTCACATTGGCAACGAAGATCCACAAAGTTAAAACAATGGTATCCCCCATAGTAACCTATGGATGTGGGAATGTCCAAACAAGAAGTCTGTAATCCAGGAACAGATTGAATATGACAATCCAAGATCCATAACTTCAAATTCTAGTCTATGTTGGAAGATTGTGTTAAACATGCAACTAAAGTCTGCAAAATCTATCCTCACATAATTCCCCCATTACTCCAGGTGGGTCAGAGCAATGTGGAGCATGATGGCAATGGCACTAAGAGTTTAAAAACACATCTCCATGAAAAAGACTTGTGCTCAGCAACACCTATCAAAATCAAAATAATTCTGTGAATGTACAAAATGTTATAATACTTGATAAGACCTATATATGGCAGCCTGGGTCAGTGTAACCCAGGTTGTGCCCACTCTGGCCATTTGCTCTTCATCTGATGTAATTAATTACATCATTCAGTTATTATGGAGGAGGATCCAAGCAACATAACTGCCAAACGATTGGATTTCAGCATGTTCTATGTCATTCTCTATTCTTTTGCTTTTTCTATTGAGGTGAATTTTCTGGCTCTAGATGGAACTATAATGTCAGTTTAGTTGTTCAATATGAACTTTTATCGATTGGTACATAAAAGAATGCTACCCAAAAAAACCCTACAACAATCCATTAAGATTGTTGGTGATCTGGTGGACGATCCCAATTTCCTGCATTTTTCAAAATAGATCTCAGCTCTGGAATGAAGTGGGAAAATGTGCATTCAACTAACTATTAAGTTTTTACTCCTTTAATGGTCCAGCACACTTCTACACAAAGAAAGGCAGGATAATCACATATGTGCTAATATTTCACAAATGAAAACTAGAACACATGTGCCCCATAGTATTGTTTCAAAATAACAAAAAAAGATAATTAACATTCATGATATTCAAGGTTGCAAATGCGGAGGTAGGTGTTAAACATGCTGGTGTTGTGCTAAAATACTAGGTGGAAGAAATAGCCATCAATTTTCCCAGCAAGGGAGCAGCCTGAAGAACAGCTTCCACTGTGGTCCTCTCATGAGGCCTGCATAAATCAGGTGGGATGTAGGGAGATAGATGAAATGTCCCACATGGCTTTTCCCCACCAAATATTTCGATCTGAGGTTGGTTGAATCCACAGAGGACTGATTGCATATAGGTGCATATGTTGTTTCTGTCTTCTGAGACACAAGATGTCCCAGTCTGATATTGTTTCACTATAGATATTCCTATGCATAGTTTACTTAATGCCAAGTTGATCATTCTTAAGAACCAATTTCTTAAGAAACCAAATTAAAGTTTTTGATTGTGTAACTATAGTAAACTGGACCAAAATTAACAAAACTAAACAAAGATAAGATGGACACTACACAGAAACAGCTCTTGTCACGATTGCCCTTCTTTGATATCTTGGATGGCTCTTGATATACTTGGTGAAAAATATCTTTTTCTAGCAGCTCAATGGATTTTGTGTATGGGAGCCTTTTTTGCAAAATGGTTCTATTCCTCTCTTCAAATATATCTTCAGAGACACTTAAATATATGAGAAAGTTCTAGAGATTTTAGCACACATGAAAAATCAGGCAACAGAATGATTTCGCGGCCAAAAAGACAAATGCAACATTAGGGTACATCAAAAGAAATTAGTATCCAGATAGGAGATGTAACTGTTTGACTCTGTTCCTCTTTGATTGGACCTCAAGTATTGTATCTATTTCTGGGTAAAAAAATTATTTATCGTGTCAGGGGAACCAGTCGATTATATTACATTTCTAACAGAACAAAGCAAACAAACAGACAAAATGCAAAATGTGTGAGTTTGGTAGTTGATTAAATGTCCTTTGACCAGTATCTGGCCACTTGGAGTGCTTCTGGTGTTGCTGCAAGAAGGTCCTCCATTGTGCATGTGGCTGGGCTCAGGTTGCATTGCAGCAGGTGGTCTGTGCTTTGCTTCTCTCTGCACTCGCATGCCGAGGATTCCACTTTGTAGCCCCATTTCTGCATCTTGTGGTGCCGGAGCACAGTCTGTTCAGCGCCTTCCAAGTCGCCCAGTCCTCTGTGTGCCCAGGGGGAGTCTCTCATTTGGTATCAGCCATTGATTGAGGTTCTGGGTTTGAGCCTGCCACTTTTGGACTCTCGCTTGCTGAGGTGTTCCAGCGAGTGTCTCTGTAGATCTTAGAAAACTATGTCTTGATTTAAGTCGTTGACATGCTGGCTGATACCCAAA